TCCTGTCCGTAATCCCCGTCACCAAACACTCATTCAGTTATCAGAAGCATTTCAGAGCCCTTGAGATTAATGGCTGGTGCCATGTAAACAGAGCCTTATATTGGGAAGACGAAGCTACTGGCAGGTCAGTACACAGCAGGAGAAGACCAAGGCAGGTCCCCTGTCCCTTGCGGCTCTGGTGGTCCCCAAACAAAGGAAGTCCTGGGATGGGCAACAGTCTGAAAGCCATAGTTGCTTTTGTGCCCTCCAATGGGTGCCAAAAGTACCTCCTTGAAGACCTAGAAGAGATGCCAGTGGATAAAATGGTGGATCTGAGTGGTAAGCAGCTGAGGCGGCTGCCTCTGCACATTTGCTCTTTTAGGGAACTGGTTAAGCTGTACCTGAGCGACAACAACCTGAACCACCTGCCTCCCGAGCTGGAGCAGCTGCAAAACCTGCAGATCCTGGCGCTGGACTTCAACAACTTCAAAGCTCTGCCCTTGGTCGTGTGCACGCTGAAGCAGCTCTGCATCCTCTACCTGGGCAACAACAAGCTCTGCAGCCTGCCCCTCGAGCTCCGGCTCCTGCAGAACCTCAAGACCCTGTGGCTCGAGTCCAACTGCCTGCAGTTCCTGCCCGAGGTGGTGTGTGAGCTCAGCCTGCTCAAGACCCTGCACGCCGGCTCCAACGCCCTGCGCACGCTGCCCCCCCAGCTGCGCCGCCTGCGGGAACTGCGCACCATCTGGCTGTCGGGCAATCTGCTGTCCGAGTTCCCCCCTGTCCTCCTGGACATGCCTTTTCTGGAGGTGATCGATGTGGATCGCAATTCCATCCGGTTCTTCCCCAGCCTGGCTCACCTGCCCGGCCTGAAGCTGGTGATCTACGATCACAACCCTTGCGGGAACGCACCCAAAGTGGCCAAAGGGGTGCGCAGGGTAGGGAGGTGGTCAGAGGAGACCCCTGAGCCCCGCAAGAGGTCTGGGGCAGTGATAGAAATCTCTCTTAATGAGAAACCATCACTACCTGCTGCTGCCAAGCCCGAGCCAGAGGCCGAGCCCTGCTGAGGCTCAGCTGCCCATGCAGACCAAGGGCACAGAGCACCCACAGACGCTGCCCCACCTCTACCTCTTCCTCCCTCGCTGGTGTCTGGGAGTACCACGCTGCCTGGCTAGCCTTCAGGAGTTTAGAGCCAGGTGACAGCAAAACTCTCTTGTAGACACCCCTTTCTGAGAGCACTCTCTAGGGGAAAGACTTCCTCCCTTTCCTCTTCCTCCCATGTAGGAACGACTTCAGAGTTTGCAGTAGAGATGAAGATGCAGTTTAGATGTTTTCCATGGGTGAATTGTACGGTGCACGTACGGACTCGCTGCTCTTCACCCATGGGAAGCCCATGGGGTTGTCCTCCCTTCCACCTTGCTGAGGTGTCTGAGCTCATTTGGAAGCCACTGTTTCAGGTGATGAGCACTGCTGGGAGTCACAGCTTTAAAGTTACCCACAACGTTCCTCTCTGATGACTTATTTGAAACCCAGCAGCAACAGCTTGAAGGCTTCCCCGCCTGCTGTGTGGGAAGCTGTAGCAGAGCCTTGGCTGCACTATCAAGGAAACAGCACATACATACCAGCAAGCTCTCCTCTCACACTGCTGCCTTCTTCCCAGAGAAACGGTGACCACGCTGTTTTGTTATTACCAAGCAGCATTTGAAATCATGGCGAGGAAAGCTAGCAGCTTTGCTGCTACCTTTTATCTAACCAGCTATGCTGCCTGAAAGGGTAACCATCCACACTGAGTTTTCATGCAGCAGCAAAGAAGAAAATGAAATGGAAAAACCACAAGAGCTGCAAAGGTAAAGCTGTATGAATAAAACCCAGGGCTGAGAGCCTGCTGCTACAGGCTCACACTGAATTTGAAGCAAACTTCACTCACGACTTCAGTAGGGTGTTTCCCCAGCTTGCAACTCAGACTGGTTCAGATTCCCTTGGAAATGTGCTGAACTAATTTAAGTATGCTTTGCTTTAATTGTGCAACACAGAAATTGGGCTCAAAATGACATTTTTAGCTTTTGATTCCATTGCACGATCATTGAGTTTGGCAAAATACAGCTTTTTTTTTTTTAAAAAAAGGGTGAGGAGCCCTTGGTGCAGAACTGCCATGTCCTCCCCTGCCTTGCTTGTCAGTGGCACCACCGTGTCTCAGCAGCCCAGCCTGCAGGAGCAGCAGTTGGCTTCCCAGAAGAGGTTTGATTTTATGCCAGTTCATGACTGCTTTATGTCATTTACATGCTTGAAAATTTATCTGGAAATACAGAGACTCTGCTAGCACTTGCTGTCTTGTTAAATGAAGTTTGAATTTGGATCTGGCTGGCACCCATGTAGTCATTAAATTAAATAAAGTGTACTAGCATCTTGCTGAGTTAAACCAGCCAGCTTTGGCATTCACTGAATTCTCTCTTTCTGAACTCTCTCATCTAACTTTGTTGGAACAAACTGTTTCTTCCTACAAAATTATTGAGCAGGACAAGAGTTTGGGGCTTTTTTAACATCCCAGTTTCATGTTTTATTTTCTACAGAACTGCCCTGGTACTTTTATCTGGGGGGTGTGAGAAAGATTGACCTGCTTGTAAATGGTTTGTGTTGAAGACACAAACTGTGATTCTGCACAGTATTGTCACTTTGGGAGAGCATGAGTCTGGAGAGTTTGGAAGGATTTCTGTATGCAGATCCTCTTCATTTCAGGAAAGCTAAGGGAGAAAAATATTTGCTCAGATACTTTCTTGATTTCTAATCGATCTTCCTGCTTTGGCAGTTCCCCTGGTGTTTACCAAGGTGCTGTATACTTGCCAGGGCCAGAAGGGTCCCAACACCCTGCTGGTACCTCTGGAGAGGCTCCCAAGCAGACAGGGTGCCTCCACTCACCTCTGCTTACAGTCATGGAGAACCTATGTGAAGGTTGCTGCAGGCATCACAGAATTCCTTATGACCCAAGCACAACCAGTCCAGTTAAGAAACATGTTGCCTTTGCAGCAGCTATGTAGGAGAGCATCTAAAGGTAGGCCACAAAGGGTGTGAAAGGAGGAAAACAAAAAAGGCTACAAAATACAGCCCGGCACATTTTCCACTAACTGCTATTATGCATGTTCGTAAAGTTGGGCTGAGCTCAGTACTTGACAGACAAGCATACTGCTCCAGAATGCTACTTCTCCTAGACTGCACCCTCCTCTCACTCCCTCTCAGCAGAAATCCTAGCTACATAAAATTTGTGGTACAACAAAGCTGTGAAATCCCTGAAGTTTTGGGCATTGGCAAAGGTTCCTCTTCGTATTTATATCTTATTTTCATCATCCAAAAATATGCAGCACACCAGCATTTCTAGAACAGGGTAACATTTAACTTCAGTGCCTAAATCTAGGATCCCAACTCAAAACCTATCCAGCCTGACTAGCTGAACACATCAGGTGAACCTGAACCCCAAAGCTGCAAAAGGCCCAAGGGGTTTTCCTTGGTGCTGACCACCTGGTCCCCACTTGAAGTGCCTGAGGACTGAAATGTGCACCGCTGCCTTCCCCACGGAACTGCACTTCTTGGTTCTGCACAAAGACAAGTACCATTTTGATGGATTTGAACTTCCTTTTTTATTTATTTCTGTGTATTTTAAGTGGAACCTGGAGAGGAACAAAAGGATTAGGGTTGTATAAAGCCCATTTTACTTGAAAGTGCATCTTCCCCACAACACATATAACCTGAAATCAGTTAAAATTAACTGAAGACGGTTGTTTTCATGTCACCGATGGCGATTTGCTGTCTCAAGCTTCTGTTCCATAACCTCACGGAAATTAGATCATAAAAAAAAATTGCTGGGTGAGATCTGGTCCACATATCCTCAGCTACTGAAGACAATTTAACATGGGCGATGGTCTGGCACCCGTTTTCTGGGGAGAAAAAGAAAAATCAGAAAATTCCTGTCCCCACTCATGTCCACCATCCTCCTCACCCAGTCTTATTTTTAATTTTTAGTTTATATTTTGTGTTCAGTGCTAGCTTTACCTCACAGCACCCAAGGCATTATCACCTCAACCCTACGACACCACCTCTGACCACAGTGAAAACCTGTGATTCACTGAACAGTGCACACTGCCTGGTAACGGGCATGCCTGGAATAACCTGCCTGCAAGCAGAGGGCACGCCCAAGATAACCTGCCTACTACAAGAGGAATTTTCTCCCAAACTTTTAATAAATGTGCTTTTGTTTTAGGTGCAGATTCTACTGCAGAAGCAGCTGTGCATTTAACCACAATTCTTGCCAAAAGCAGCACGATGCCTTACATTCTGGTCAGACACTTTTGCTGATGTTTTAGTATTACATACAGCACTAGTAGTTGGTGTGCATACCCAGATTACCCAGCAATTACCCAGGCATTCCTCAGAGAGGCTAACTAAAGAGCACTGATGACTCTAAAGGCCTGTCCATAACCTAATGCAAAAAAATAATCTGACATGAACATCAGCAGGTCAGATGTCAGTCTTCAGACCAAACGAAATATTTTTAGAACAAAACTTTCCAGCATTGTTAATCTTCCACAGAAGGAGGCTTTGCTCTACCCCACTGACCAACATAGATACTCGTGTCATACCTTGGTGCTGCTTTAATGATGTCATCTACACGAAGAATCATTTCTGCTGCTTCAGCTGCGCTCAGCAGAACTTGTCTCTTGACTTGGAAACTTTCTGTTACTCCCAAGACTGCCATGTCTCCAATGACACCCTCTCTCATATCTGGAAGAAACATTAAGAGGTTTTGGTGGTTATGGGTTTTTTCAACCTTTTTTTTTTGTTTTTTTAAGGAGATTACAATGGAGCTGACAACATGGTAGCTTACCTGCTCAAATGAACCATACTGATAGTAAGGGAAGTATTAAATAAAGCCTTTCAACTCAACTCCTGAGTTAAGCTGAGCATGTTGCAATTACATACAAAAAATAAATTATGAAAACTTTATAGACTGGGAAGAGGAGACAAGACCCCAGCAGAACTCTCAGCACTCTCACCTGAAGTAGATCAACTTCAGAATTGTTCTCCACAACTTCTTTTTAAAGCTTTTTTTGAGGCGTGGGGATTGGTTATGAGTTTTTTTGTTTGTTTTTAAATGAGTGCCTTTTTTCTTGAGTTTCATATGACTAGAGTCAGTGGAAGACAGGCCAGTGGTTTTACAGGTGGAAATAATTCCCTTCAAAAACCAAGCTTTGCACTCTGTTATGCAAAGCCTAATACCATGATAAAGCAACATAACATTGTATGCCTACTTTCTACGTAAGCCAAACAGAAATCAACATACTAAGCTCTTTCAGCCAAAATGTATCAGTGACAAACAGATGTGACCAAGTTTAATAAGCCTAATCCCCTCCACAAACACCAATCCAACAACAGAAGTAATATCAAGCCCCTTACCAAGTCCGTAAGTAGTCTTCCCTTCACTGTGAGCAGCTCTGAGCTGAGCAACCAAATCTGCACTGTCATAGCCAGCATTATCAGCTATTATTGTTGGGATCTAAAGGGACAAAACACAGGTTGCTTTCAATTAACACAGGGATTGATCCCTAGTAAACATGAAACACACTTTGATATTACTATTCAGTTTCAGGAAGAGGAAGTTTCAAAAACACAGCAGATGATCTGTTACAGTGACCCAAAGATAAGGAAAAACTGCCTAAGGATTCTGTTTATGTTACTGCTACCCTGTTAAGACAGTAATTCCATTTTACATGGACAAAAAAAAAAGATATTTTCTTACAATTTCAGACTACAAGCACTGGGGAAATGCTTTCATATTCAGAACACAGGCTTGCTGGTAAGCATTAACCACCAGATCATTCTCTTCAGACTGCAGTACAACTTACATGCACTGACTGAAAAGGTAATGCCAAGTTTTACCATGCTCTTTAATTCAATTTTCTTGGAAGAAATATGTTCCTGTGGACTTTCAATTACTAACATGTTTTTTCTGATTTAAAATGCAG